GGGCCGGACGAAAGGGGGGGATTGGGAAAGGGGGGGTGCGAAATCTGCTGCATGCAGCTGGTTTCGGCCCCACCGAGGGCCCATTCCTCGATACTCCGATACTTGGCCGTCTCCGGCGCCGGGAGGCGCCGGGAAAATCAGCCACGTGAGCTGATTCTCACCCCCCCCCCTTTGCTATCCCCCCCTTTCGCCCAGCCCGAAACCAGGTCCTAGGGGTTTTTGGGGGGGCGGTGTTCGGCGTCCCGGAGGGCCGCAGGGGCCGGCAGGTGGCGATCCAGGATGAGGAAGCTAGTCTTCGGGAGAGGCCCCGTTGATCCAGAGGACCCGCTTCGAACTGCCAAGGGAATTAGGATCCTTCGTGGTAAGATCGGGGTGCCGCAAATGAGCGACGCACGAAAAGTGGGTTCGTTTCCCCTGACATTGTCGCGTAAGCTGCTAGCGTAAGGTCGCGCGTAAGCGCGCTCGCTTCCAGCGTAGCGTGCCGCGCGGGCGGCCCGCGTGAGCCACCGCTTAAGGTCGGGGATCCACGCGGATTTCTTGCATCAGCGCCAGACCTTTCGCGTCAGGTAGGGGGGGGCATCGCCGATGCAAGAAACTTCCGCGCCAGTTCATACAGCCAACCCGCATAGTATGGATGAGCGACTTTCCACGGTTACCCTTGCATCGGCCAATCCCTGGCCGCTGTCGCCGGCGGCGCCCCGCTCGCCAAGTGTCGGCAGGGCCTTCCGAGGCCCTTGCATCCTGATAGAGCGTCCTCATTGTGGTGTTGACTGTGCATCTGCATTTTCTCCTTTCAGGAGCGGTGCCGATGCCGATGCCGCTGCGTGTCCGCCGCCGCCACAGCTGGACTCGCCTGGAGGTGCTGGTCAGAGCGCGCCCGTGGGAGAGGTCCCAGGAATGCTCCGAAGAAGAGGGTCGCGAAGAACGACCCTTTAATCCGATAGGAAACCCAAAAAGGCATCGACGTGGTTTGATCGTCCCGTGCTGTGGCCACGTCGCCACGCCGCTCCACGTTCTTGCCAGGACGCCTCAGCAAGGGCAGCAAGGGCCAGCCGCACCAGCCACTCATGCCGAAGCCTTTCGTGCTGTGAGTGCTCTCCCCCCCCTCCTGCTCCGCGGCAGCCGTCTGTCCTGTCAGTTTCTTTTGCATCCAGACAAGCAGTACGCTTTGCCTCAGCTACTAGAGCGCGCACGTGGATTGCATCTGCTGCGTCGCGATAGAAAAATTAACAAATCTTCCCTGGACAGCCGGTGGTCCAATTGTTCGATGCATGGAGCCTGAAAGTCTTGGACCACTTCCCTAAGGTTGTCTTTTCTTCCTGGGTCGCTTGTTGACGGTCATTGGGCCCGTTGAGGGCCCCCGGAGGCCGATCAGTGAAAGCAGACGGCCGCTTTTATTCCCAACCATCCTGTGGTGTTGGGTCTTCGTTTTGAATTGATAGCGCCTCGCGTTCCTCCTCCTGCCGCTGTCCCTTTTCCTTTCCCTTCATCATCAGCAGCATCATCGTCGTCGTCAGTCGTCACCAAAATAACCATCAACGTCATCACCATCATCAACATCATCATCGGCATCATCACCATAACCGCCATAAGTCTTCATCACACCCCTCACACGCTGCGTGGCCCCATAGGGAACCCCACCCAAGGTCCCAGTGGCGCAGTCCGCATGGCGGCGCCGCCCCATTCCGGCACACCCCTCACACGTATGGAGGCCCCATAGGGAGATTCACTGCAGGTCCCAGTGGCGCAGTCCGCATGGCGGCGCCGCCCTATTTTTGGTACACCCTTCACACGTTTCGTGGCACCATAGGGAGTCCCACTTCAGGTCCCAGTGGCGCAGTCCGCATGACGGCGCCGCCGATTTTAACGCACCGTTCACGCGCTTCGTGGTCCCATAGGGAGCTCCACCTAAGGTCCCAGTGGCGCCGTCCGCACGTCGGCGCCGCCCCATTTTGGCACACCACTCACACGCTTCGTGGCACCATAGGGAGATTCACTGTAGGTCCCAGTGGCGCAGTACGCATTGCGGCGCCGCCCTTTTCTTTTGCACACCCGCCACAAGTTTCGTGGCCCCATAGGGAGCTTCACCTAAGGTCCCAGTGGCGCAGTCCGCGCGGCGGCGCCGCCCCATTTTGGTACACCCCTCACACGTTTCGTGGTCCCATAGGGAGCTCGGCGCAATGTCCCAGTGGCGCCTTCCACATGGCGGCGCATCCCCATTTCGGCACACCCCTCACGCGATTCGTGGCGCCATAGGGAGCCTCACCCAAGGTCCCAGTGGCGCAGTCCGCATGGCGGCGCAGACCCATTCCGGCACACCCCATCACACGCTTCGTGGCCCCATAGGGAGTTTCCTTTAAGGTCCCAGTGGCGCAGTCCGCATGGCGGCGCCGCCCCATCTTGGCACACCCTTCGCACGTTTTGTGGTAGCATAGGGGGTTCCACGTAAGGTCCCAGTGGCGCAGTCCGCATGGCGGCGCCGCTCAATTTTGGTACACCCTTCACACGCTTCGTGGCACCATAGGGAGCTTCACGTAAGGTCCCAGTGACGCCGTCCGCACGGCGGCGCCGCCCCATTTTGGCACACCCTTCAGACGCTTTGTGGTGCCATAGGGAATTCCACCAGTGGCGCCTTCCGCATGGCGGCCCCGCCTTATTGTGGTATACCTCTCACACGTTTCGTGGCACCATAGGGAGGTTCAGTGCAGGTCCCAATGGCGCAGTCCGCATAGCGGCGCCGCCGATTTTGGCGCACCGTTCACGCGCATCTTGGTCCCATAGGGAGCCCCACCTAAGGTCCCAGTGGCGCCGTCCGCACGGCGGCGCCGCCCCATTTTGACACACCACTCACTCGCTTCGTGGCACCATAAGAGAGATTCACTGCAGGTCCCAGTGGCGCAGTACGCATTGCGGCGCCGCCCTTTTCTTTCGCACACCCCCCACACGCATCGTGGCCCCGTAGGGAGCTTCACCTACGGTCCCAGTGGCGCAGTCCGAATGGCGGCGCCGCCCCATTTTGGCGCATCGTTCACACGCTTCGTGGTCCCATAGGGAGCTTCACGTAAGGTCCCAGTGACGCGGTCCGCACGGCGGCGCCGCCCCATTTTGGCACACCTCTCACAAGTTTCGCGGCCTCGAAAATGGAGCCCTACAACAGGCCCCAGTAGCAGCGCCCGCATGGCGGCCCCGCCCAATTTCGGCACCCCATCACACGCTTCGTGGCCCCCTACTGAGATCCACCGCAGGCGATACTAACAACGACGGTATTCACAACTGCATGGGCTTGGGTCCTTCACCATGCAAAGTTTTCCGGAGCCTCGGATCTTTGGGTCTTGCTTACAGTGGGGGTGCGCATCAAGACACCATCTGCTTTTCGTCAGGGTATCCCGGGTTTCTTCGCTCCTCGTGCCGCGCGGTGACTTCCGCAGCCGTTGAAGGAGCTGCTGCGTTCAGGGTGCTCCAGGTCTCCCCTCGGGTGCACCTCGCGCACGGGTTCTCAGGGTGGGGTTCCTTGCGAGGGTTTCCTGCGGCCGCGCCCACACTGTATTGTCCCAGCCCGATCGGGGCATCGATAATCTTTGCCCCCACATCGCAGATGCATCGCCGATGCATCGGCGACGCTCTCGATGCATCGGCGACGCCGGCGTGGAGGAGCTCGGGCTCCACGTCGAGCCGCATCGGCCATGCGTCGGCGATGCGGCGCGATCCCCCGACCCCATCTATTAGGACCCCCATTTGGGGGGCCACCATTGTCCTTCGTCCTCCTCGCCGGGCGGAGAGAGGCGCACAGGAGGCACCTCCTCCCCCTCCTCCTCCTCCTCCTCCTCCTCCTCCTCCTCCTCCTCCTCCTCCTCCTCCCCCTCCTCCCCCTCTATTAGGACCCCATTTGGGAGCCCGGTCAGGGCCTCGATGCCTTCTCCGCAGGAGCTGCTGCTGCGGGCGCGGGAGCGGGCGGGCCCCCTGGGGCTGCAGGCCTGGGGCGCCGGCGTGGCCGCGTGCGAGCGCGGGGCCCACTGGGAGGGCGCCGCGGCGCTGCTCGCGCTCGTGCGGCGCGACAGGTCGGAGCCCCGAATCATCAGGGGTAACTCGGGCGTCCAGAGCCCCGAATCATCAGGGGTAACTCGGGTCAGGGCTAACTCAAACCCGAGTTACCCCGGACCCGAGTTACCCCGTAACTCGGGCGTCCAAACAGGGGCGTGCCGGACACCGCCGCGGTCAACGCGGCCATGCGGGCCTGCGCAGCGGCCGCGCAGGCCCAGACCCGTAGGATCTGAAACGGCTAATTTCGGGGGTGGACAGAACCCCCACCCTGACACGTCGATTAGTGAATTGTCCGTTTTCGGTTCTCGAGAGGGTGCCGCCCTTTTCCAGGCTTTCGCCCGCCAGATTTGGGCCCGAGGTCGTTTTCACTAAACCACTTTTTGCTAAAGGGGGTTCTGTCCATTCCCGATAATTGCGGGGAGAGCGGGCACGAAGACCGGCGGCAGCTCAGGGGAGCGAGCGAGGGCACGAACAGAGAAGCTCGGAGCTCCGCGCGGATTCTTCGGATCGGCGCCGAGGCCCCCTGGCGGCGCTTCCGGCGCCGCCCCTGGCGCGCTCCGCGCGCCAGGGAGGGGGGGTCGAGCGCCGATCCGAGAAACCCGCGCGGATCTCAGAGTTCTATGTGTATGTCATCGTTCGTTCCCCTACAGTTCTCAGGGGGAGCTGAACGTACCCCAGAACAGACGCACCCTGGACAGACTGGGGGCCTCAGGGCTCACCTCGGGAGGCCCAGCGGCCGCGTTGTGACGCCCACCGTGGCCGCTGCCACACCTCGTTGGGGGACGTCGTCCTGGGGGCACGTTTGCTCGTTCGTCAAGTTCGTGTTTTGAACAGGACTGACTGTCGGCGTCGCCGCGGACGTAGGCCGCCCGCCCGACAGCGGCCATCGTCGGTTTTGGACAACATTTGCAGCCGGGCACCGACAATTTCTTCCATACCCATTTCGGGCGTCCAAATCAGAGGCGGCCGAGGTATTTCTAAGTTTTTTTGATTTTTTGAGGGGGTCCTGGGGGGCACGTTGGGGGTCTTGCGGCAATCCTCTGGGAAAAGGTTCTCCAGCTCGATTTCTCCCTCCTGGGGCCGTCATGTCTTGGGCCGACTCGGGGCATCTTTGGCAGTCTGGGGGTTGTCCTGGGCCGTCTCGAGGGCTCTCTTGGGACGTTGTCGGGCTGTCTCCCCTTCTGGAGGATTTTGCTTATAGGGGTGAATGAAGTCGTGTGAGAGGGCCAGGGAGTACCAGCCTGTATGATCCCGGGTCGAGGGTTCACACTCCCCCCCAAAAGATAGGATGGGCCCCAGGGTTCCACAGCACCCCCCCCCCAAATGGGATAGGGGTGGACGGCGTTGACGCCGACTCCGTCGCCGACGCCGTCGCCGACGCCGACGCCGACGCCGACGACGACGCCGACGCCGCCGACAGCGACAACGACGACGACGACGCCGACGACGACGCCGGCGCCGACGCCCACGCCCACGCCCACGCCCACGCCCGCGCCCACGTCCACGCCCACGACGACGCCGCCGCCGACGACGACGACGACCACGACGACGACGACGACGACGACGACGACGACGACGACGACGACGACGACCATGATGACGACGACGACGACGACGATGACGACGGCGATGACGACGACGGACGACGGACCAGGGCGACGGACGACGGACCAGAGCAACGGACGACGGACGACGGACGACGACGACCCACCCTACACGCACAGGGGGAGGGCGGGGGGTGCACGACCAAGGGGAGGGCGGGGGGTGCACGACCAAGGGGAGGGGGACGATCCGATTCGCGTGGCCTTATCGAGGCTCACGTGCGTACCCATCCAGCGGGGGGGGCTGATCTCATATGCCCTCAGTTTTCCCCCTTCTCCCCCCGAAATAATAAAGAACATGTTCAGGACCCCTTGTTGGTCAGTGATTGGGCCCCGTAGAATGCCGAATCCGTTCTACCGTAGATTCGGGCGGTGGCAAAAGGGGGTGACCTAGGGGGGGGTGAAGAAAAGGGCCCTGAAGGGGCCCTCTAGGGCCAAAAGGGGCCCTAGAGGGCCCCTTTGGGGCCCTTTTCTTTGCCCCCCTTCAGGTCACCCTCCATAAATTAGCATCCGCCCGACTGGTGGTGCTTCTTCGGGCGGCGACAGCCTCGGTTGGTGGAATGGGGCCGGGGGGCGCCCCCCCATCACGTATCGCAATGAACTGACTACAACGCCGCTCAGCTTGGCGCGGGCCGTCGTTTTGTTGTTCACTCTTTTTTCGTTGTTGTTTGGTTATGTTGCTCGTTTTCGTTTTGGTCGCCTCGTCTCGTTGTTCGTCTCGTGTGGCAACGGCCTGGGTTGAAACGTCAGCTTACACGCTGGGCTTCCATTCGCTGCTCGTTCTGTGCGCCGTCTCGTGTTCCACATCGCTGGTGTTGGCCTCCGCTGCCACATCCCTCCACCGGGTCCCGCCGGCCCCAGTCCCGCCGACGCCCGGTCTTTGCCCCCCCCCCCTCTGGGGAGCGTAAGACCCGGGTTTGCCAGGACTCGGGTTCGGCATCGTTTTTTGACGACCGCGACTCGGATTTTGACGAGTAGGAGTTTCGTTGGATGTCTGCAGCGGGAGGCCTCGTCAAAATGCAGGCTCGGCCTCGTCATTTTTTTGACGACCTCGTCGGGCATTTCCGAGTCCCCCGTAACCGGGTCTTACGTCTCCCCGACCCCCGCAGGCGGCCCGGGCGCTCGCGCTCTTCGAGCCCCTGCGCGCGGGCGCCTCCGCGGACGCGCTGTCCTACAGCGCCGCGGTGGCGGCCTGCCGGCGGGGCGCGGACTGGCGGGGGGCCCTGGGGCTGCTGGCGGAGGCTGTGGGCCTGCTGGGGCGGCGGGTACTCGGGCGAAGAGAATTATGCACATGCACCGATCCTGGCAAGGCCCATCCTTGACCCATGATCGGTGCATATGCCTTCCTGGCCAAGGCAGGAGGGCGTATGCACCGATCCTGGGCTCAGGATGGGCCTGGCCAGAATCGGTGCATGTGCATAGTTCGTTTTCCTCTAGGTACCTGGCGTGGCGTACGCAGCCGCGGCGGCGGCCTGCGAGGCCTCGACGTCGTCGTCGTCGGCGTCGTCGTCGTCGGCGATGGCCGATTGCCGATCGTCGTCGTCGTCGTCGTCGCCGTCGTCGATGTCGTCTCCGCGGGCGGCTGCGCACGAGGTCGGGGGCGGCCAAGAGGGGGGTGATGACCAGGGGGGGATTTTTTTCACGGGGGCTATGAGGCCTCCCTGGATCTCGTGGCCCCTCTCTTCGTTCAAGGCGTCCGTCCCCTGCCCCCCCCCCCCCCGCCCCACCCCCTGGGCCGCGCACGTGCCTCCGGCCACGATTTGCGAACCCCCCTCTTGGCCGCCGCCCCTCTTGGACGCGCCCCCCTCTTGGATTACGTCGGGCATGTCCCTCTACAGGGGGAATAGTATAAAAACAGTCTGGGGACGATTTGTCGATGAATGTTTGGCCATGTTGTGTGTATTTGTTTGACTATGTTATACTTGTCCTCCGAAATACACCTGTAGGAGGACATGCCCGACCTAGCTCTTGGACGCTCCGATACGCATAAGAGTGACCCTTCGCTGGAGCGGCCGCTGGTGTGGGCCCACTAGGCCTCCCAGATAGGGGCCCGAACAGGTGGGGTCGGAGGATCGCGCCGCAGCGGCGATGCATTGGCGATGCGGCTCGATGTGGACTTCATCCACGCCAGCGGCGCTAATGCATCGCCGATGTCGCCGATGCGTCGCCGATGTCGCCGATGCATCGGCGATGCGTCGACGATGCTCCGACCCCAACTACTCGGACCCCGATCTAGGAGGCCACTAGTGACCTTTCGCTGGAGCGACCGTTGGTGCGGGCCCGCAGGGGTCCCGCCGGTACAGGCTGGCGCGCGCGAATGTTGCTTGGGTTTGGCCCCTGCAGCGGCGCCGCGCACCAAAGGTCACTCTTGCCTAGGGTCCCTCTCGCGTGCACCTGAGAGGCCGGGCTGCGCTGGGGGCAGGCCCTGGCGGCGCTCGAGCGGGGTGCCGCGTCCCGCGCGGAGCTGAGCGTGGTCGCCTTCAACAGCGTGATCAGCATGTGCAAGGCCCGCACGGGCGGCTCAGAGGAATGGAACGGAATGGGCTCAATCGCGGTGCGATACGAAGAGGGGAGACGACCTACGAGGGCTTAGCTCGGTTCGAACCCTGGGCCTTGGGCCATTGCCCTGCCTCGAAATTCGTGAGATACCGAAGCCTCAGCCAAATTAGAACGGAGCTGCTCACTACCGAAGAATCCAAACCGACCACAAATCCAGACTTGCATTGTGGACGAGTACACAAGCAGATGGGACGGGTGGACCCAACCCCCTCCCATGTGGACCCGCTTCCCCTTTGCGACTGAAACTTATTCGAGCCTACACCGATTAGATCGAAACACGGCGAATTTCTCCAACTGGTGAGAGTGTCCTGAGAGGCACCGCCGCCGCACCGCAAGCAAGGATTGCCTGCATCACTCAGTCGGTGCTCCGAGGAAAACACAGAGATGGAGGATGGAGAGGGAGGGGGGGCTGGCCTTGCCGTAGGACGAGGTCTGGTCGGGGAAGGACGTGCAGCCATCGCCTCGAGCGTAGCACAGAACAGTCCACCGTGCCGTGCGCACACCCGGGGATCGGCTGCGGGCATGCGCGCGCATGCAGCACGGGCACATTTTCTCGGGGGTGCACTCGTATTTTTTGGGCCGTGTGGCCGGACGGCCTCCACATTGCGCCCCTGCGCTCCTCGAGCCGGGGGGGGTAAGATGAAGGCAGACTCGAAACACCATCGGGCCGACATCAAACGGAAGTCTCGGATGATCGACGGGTTAATAGGATGTCTCGGGCGACGCGTCTGTCTCAGAGCGTTCCAGAACGCTTTGGGCCATACATATATACATATATAATATATATATATATATATACACGTGTAGTGTAAATCTATATATGTATGTGTCTATCGATTCCAGGTCCGTCTGAGGAGGGGTGTGGGGAGGGGCCTCCTTTCATCGGCTGCTGCAGCAGAGGCAGAAGGCCCAGGGAGGACCATTGAATTTATCCGAGGTCTTTGTCGAGGCTTCCTGACGAACGCGTGTGATGCCCGCCCCCTGGCTGTTGGCTGCCCACCCCCTGCTCCTCCCTCCGCCGACTGCCTGAAACGCAGATGGTATTGGGCACTGGGCATTGCAGCAGAGACGACAGGCCCAGCGGTCCGCGAACGCAAGGAGGGGCGTGGGGAGGGGTATCTGGCAAGGCCTGCCATCCTGAGATGTCCGCGCGGTCGTTGAGAGTAGGTTATTTCGGATTCCCAGATCCCAGCCTTCCTACTTCAAGGATTGAATGTTTTTTTCTTTGCCGTCCGATTCAGGGGGCGGGCGGAAGCGCAATCTACATCCAACGCCTTCCTATCTCATGCTTTGGCCTGCCTCTTCCGACCGGCGTGTGCTTCCATGCTCTTTGGTCGGTGCCTCGAGGCCTCCCGCGCGTGGGCCGCGGCCGTCGCGGCCCTGGCGGGCCTGGGGCGATGGCGCCTGCGGCCCGACGCGGTGACCTACGGCGCCGCCGTCAGCGCCTGCGAGAAGGAGACGCAGTGGCCCCTGGCGCTGCACCTCTTCGCGGACCGCGGGTGGGGGGGAGACGCGCCGGCGCCGACGCCGTGCCCTTTTACGAAGGATTGCAAAAAAAACCAAGGGTTTTTTTGCAACCCAAGGGTTTTTTTGCAATCCTTCGTGCCCGCCCCGCCTGGGCCTCCCGCCTGGGCCCCCCCCCCCAGGCGATCGACCGCGGCAGGCTCCTCCCGCATAGAAAGAGCACGCAAAAACATGCACAAAAACACACAAACCAGCAGCCCCTCGCCCCCGCCGCCGCGGCCGGGGCTCCGCCCCTCGGGGTGCGGAGGTCCCGCGCAGCAGGTCGGGTGACCACACGGTCGGGTGGGCCCAAGGGCGAGCGGACCGCCTGTTTGGACGCCCGAAATGGGTACCGGTAGGTTTGCGTCGTGTCGACCAGCGGCGACCCCAGCGTGGGCGTTCAAGGTTGAACGCCGCCGGCGACCCAGAATCGATCGACGTTGAACGATCGGACGTTGCGGCAGCGGCCGATCGTTCAAGGTTGAACGATCCCTGCCGTGTCAAAAACCAACGCTGGGGTCGGCACGACACGAACCTGCCGTACGGAAAGAATGGGCACGATGCCCAACAACAAATGTTGTCCCAAACCAACAGCGGCCGCTGTCGGGCAGGCGGCCTTCTGTGTCGAACGGACACAGGCCGCGGCGGCGCGGACAGCGAGTCCTGTTCAGAATGAGCAGGAGCTGCTGTTGGGCATCGTACCCATTCTTTCCGTGCCCATCTCGGGCGTCCAAAGTCTGGGGCTCCTTCCGGGTCGCTCTCCGGGGATGCTTCGAGCTCTCGGGGCCTCCGACATTCTCGAGCCGTCTGGCGACGGAGTGTCTGCTGAGGCCTCTCTTGTGTGGGTTCGGTCATCGGGCGGCCTGTGTGCCAGACGGCATTGGGGCCCTCTGACCACTATCTGGGGAGCAGCGGTACAGTGAGCGGATCGAGTAAGGAGCATTTACTTTTCAAAAGGGGCTCGGTCGTTCCTTAAGGCTTGCATGTGTTACGTATCCTTCCTTATGCGTTTTTGTATTATCTATCGTCCCGTATGCTTTTCTCCTTCGGAAACAGGGGCTTCGTTCCTTATTTATCGTTCCTTAGGCCAGGCCGATGACTGTAGTTCTCTGAACAGTCTGTGAGGTTCCACCACATAATGCTTCGAGCAGCCTGGAGGGAGGGCCAGGGCCCCCGAAATCGGTGGCCCATCGCCCCCCTTCCCCCCATCGTGCCTCCCCTCGTCCTGGCCGCCCTGCGTGTGACTGTGGGAAGCTGTTTAGGCCTCCTGCCGCAAGGCCTCGCATCGCTCGGACGTGTGCATTTTTCCTCGGCGAGGGCCATCGAGGAGCATCCTGGATCATTTGGCGAAAAGACCACGCACGAGACCAACAAAAACACAGCGAATGGACGTCCGAGCGATGGCCAGAAGGGCGCCGCCTGGGCCAAGTCTGCCACCCCCAGGACATGCGGGCCCGGAGGCTCGAGAGCCAGGTCTCCACGGGCGCCGCGGTCAGCGCGTGCGAGAAGGCCCCCGCGCGCCCCCGGGAAGCGCCTCGCCCCTTCCCCGCTGCCCCCTCTTGCCTCTAGGCCTCCCAGATGGGGTCGGAGTAGATGGGGTCGGAGGATCGCGCCGCATCGCCGATACATCGGCGATGCGGCTCGATGAGTGGCTCGATTTCCTCCACGCCGACGTCGCCGATGCATCGCCGACGTCGCCGATGCATCGCCGATACATCGGCGATGTGTTGGCGATGCGGTGCGATCCTTCGACCACATCTACCCTGACCCCTATCTAGGAGGCAGCTATTGCCTCTTGTCGCCATGAAGCAGACGAGTCCCGAGGGAAGCGGGTCCTGATTCTTGTCGCCGTGTTTGGCTTGCTGGGGCCCTCCACGGGCCCCAGGACTGCCAGAGTAACGACTCAGGGCGAGAAGCTGGGTCCAGGACCCGTTCCCCTCAGGATCTACTGGTTGCATGCCCCCGCCCCTTTTGTCCTCCTGGTCTTCCTCCTGCTGCTGCTCCTCCTGCACCCTCGCGCGGGGCAAGGAGGGGTGTGTGTGTGTGAGGAAGGAGGCAACGGGAGAGCGGCACGTTCACCAGGCGGGGGGCAGACAGCCTTCACGAGTAAAAATCGTCCCAGGGCGTTCCGGAGTACACTCCAAGGTTCCCAGAACTGGGCGGCGCGCACAATGTGGTGGAGCGACGTGGCCCCCCTGCCTTCCGGTCGGGCTTCTTGGAAACCTCCGGTCCCTTCTAAGACGCACCCAGCCTTCTTAGAAGGACGCCCCCGATCGACCCACCCCCTTCGGCGCGCTGCCGCACGCACCACAGCGGCCGCGCCGCCCGATACATGTTCCCAACTCGCCAACTCTGTATCCAAACTGCTCGCACCTTGCCCTCGCCAGAGACGACGACGCGGAAGCGGGAAGCGGTTGGGGTCGCTGCAGCTGTACGACCCGACGTTTGGCTGCCGACCGCAGGCTTTGTGGGGTTCTGCACCGAGGTCTGGGCTGGGGACGCGCGATCCGTTCGGCGATCAAGCACGCGGCTTGCCCGCGCTGATGTAAGTGTCGGGCCTTCTGGCCAGTCTAGAGCGCAGGAATTGAGAGCCCTAATTGTTGGGCCTACAGCAAAGACGCTGAAATAAGGGCCAGCCTAGTGCTTCAGGAGCAACACGAAGGCACCAACAAAGCAAATCGGAGCTCTGCGCGAATTTCTTGGATCGGCGCTGTACCCCCTCCCTTGCGCGCGGGGCTCGCCAGGGGCGGCGCCGGTCGCGCCGCTGGGTGGGCCTAGCGCCGATCCAAGAAGTCCGCGCGGAGCTCCGAAAGCGTATGCGTGTTGGTTGTTTCATCCGTCCAGGCTTGGAGGCAGCGGTGACGCGTTCGTTCTCCTCGGAGCCTGCCCCCGCCTCCGTGTCTGGGGGAGCTGAGCCACTGGTGGTGTTTCCCAGCTCCCAGATCCCCCGGTTTTGCACAGCCTGCGCTCGCTGTTTGGCAGAATTGTTCGGCGGTGTTCGGGTTTTCGTGGTTCTTGGCTGCTGCCCTGCTTCTCCTGCAATCCCAGATGCTCACTCTCCTTGCTGTCCCATGGCCCCGAATCGTTCGGGCAGTATGATGGTGGCCAGGGGAACACGTCGCGACTTTGCCGTGATAGTCATTGCATTCTGGCGCCGCGGGAGTAAGCTTTAACGCTTCTCGCGCATCCCCACAAGCCGACCCAGAGACATCTCCTTTGTAGTTTCAAGTAAGGCAACGCAACAATATTGTGTGAAGGAAAGAATGAAGGGATGGCCACTACTCAAGGCAAGGGTGGTACCTTCCCACTGGAAGACTCATGAGACCTTGGCTGAACTTGTTCGGGCGGTGCAGTGGCTGGAGTATGACCAGGTCGCCCAAACGGGGTCGGAGTAGATCTGGCAGATGAACGCGCCGCATTGCCGATGCAATTGCGGATAGACAATATTTGTTTCCTCCCGACGTCGCCGATACCGACGTCGCCGAACATCACTACTGAGGGGATCACGGCACTCCCAGGCGAGCCTTTCTTCTTGTCCGAAGAACACTTGCATCAATACTAGCAACATAGCTTCTCATCGCCTCCCAGCACTTCCCATACCCTCCCCCTAAAGCAACTCCCAGACCAATTTTATCAGAGCCCTGGCCAGGCATCTTCGGACATCAAAGTCAGACCCTCCCCTCTAGCCGAGAAAAGCTCGAGCCAGGCCGCTACCAAACAGTTGACTATATCGAAGACGCCTACGACGAATCACCGCCGCCCCCTGCCTTTTTGGAAGCGCCTGCGTGACCGAAAGATGGGCTTGAGCTTGGCCAAGAAATCTGGCCACGCGTTTCCCGAGTGGGTTTCGACAGATTTCAGGGGAACACGGAGTCGGGCGCGCTATCGGACCAGGTGGTTTTCGAGCTTTCGGGCTTCCTGAAGGACGTCTTGGAGGGGTCTTGGGCCGTCTTGGAGGCCTCTGGCGGGCCTTTGGAGCAGCCTAAGGCCATCTTCAGGCTATCTGGGGCCTTCTTGGGTGCATCTTGTGGCCATCTTCGCTGTCTTGAATGTCTTATTGGCCGTCTTGGAGGCATCTTGGAGGCCATCTTGGCCGTCTTGGATGCCATCTTGGGTGTCTTGGGCGCCTCTTGGGCTGTCTTGGGGTCTTGTTGAGGCCCTTTTTGGCGCCTCTTGGCCTGTCATGGGGCCATCTTGGGGGCCTCTTGGGCGCTCTTGGGGCGATGTTGAGGGCCTCTTGGGCCGTTTCTTCGGGTCTCTTCGGGGCGCTCTCGGGGGCCTGTTTGGAACAGTTTTGGGGCCGCTTGGGAGCCTCTTGGGGGCCTCTTGGGAGCCTCTTGGAGCCTCTTGGGAGCCTCTCGGGGCCTCTTGGCCTCCTCGTGGGGGCCTCTCGGGGCCTCCTGGAGGACCCTCGGGGCCGAGGGCTCGAAATGTCCGTTCAGGTGCCCCCTTTGAGGGCTTTCTTTGGGGACTTTTGGGCTGTCCTGGGCCCTCTTGGGCCGTCTTGCGGCTCTCTTGGCGTCCCTCGCCCTCGGGGGCCTTTGGGGCCGTCTTAGGGGCCTCGTGGGCCTTCTTGGAGCGCCGGGAAGCCGGAAAGGAGAGAAGGCCAAACACCTTCGAAAGCCAATGAAGAATCCATGATTTTTACCACTTGGGGGGGGCCCTTTTAGGACCGCCTCTTGGAATACTATTGGGACGTCTTCTGGGCCTCTCTGGGCCGCGTTGAAATCATCTTGAGCGTGTTGGGGCACTCTTAGGCCTTCTCGGAGGCATCTTCGGCTCTCTTGGGCGCTTTTTGGGCCCATGTTTGGCCTGCTGTGCTACCAGAGGACGTGCGCGACACTCCCGGGGAATCCACGGGAATCCCCGGAAATCCACGGAAATTCATGAGAAAGAAACCCGTGGTCGTGGCTTGGGCTGGTAAAACTTTTGAAAACCCAATAGCTCTGAACTCCTGAGGGCGTCATGAGCCTTGGGGCACTCCACTACGTGCTGCAGGCACGGTGGCGGGTACTGTCAGGGGCATCGGTCGTTCGATTCCAGCGTCGCTGGTATCATGGGCCCGTGGGTGCCAGCTGGCAGTGGCCAGGGACGACGAGGAGGAGGAGGAGGAGGAGGAGGAGGAAGGAGGAGGAGAGGAGGAGGAGGAGGAGGAGGAAGGAGGAGGAGAGGAGAGGAGGAGGAGGAGTAGGGGGAAGAGGGGGAGGACCGTTGGGGGTCTCCAGGGCTTCGCCGCCTGGTCAAGCCGTTTGGGCTCCCAGGGCCCTCGCGCGCAGGGGAGGGCAGCCATGGCGAG